GGGGGGAGTGCAATATTTTATATGTGCAGGGGAAGTTGTTTTTTTTCATGTGTACGGGGGTGAGAGTATTATTTTATATATATGTATGTGCAGGGGTAGTTTTAAAAAAAATGTGTACTGAGCTACATTTATGAGTGTATTGGGAACCTGTATCTTTAGCTGCAATTAGGAATTTCTGAGTCAGGAACTTGCGTTTTCCTGCAGCAGGAATGCCTAATCTGGTGTTTACAAGTGGCAGCTGTCACCTATTCAAGTTAATGATCAGATGACAGCAGCTGCTTGTAAATACCTGTACACCGCATGTAAAGATGTGTGATATGATTACATTTGGTTAGGAATCAGTCACTCTCCCTGGACGCATCAATTGTGCATCCAGGGAGAGTGTTTTCCAACTACATGTAATCATATCACATACAATTACATGCGGTGTGCAGGCGTTTACAAGCAGCGGCTATCACCTGATCATTACCTTAAATAGGTGACAGCTGCCACTTGTAAAACACCAGATTAGGCATTCCTGCTGCAGAAAAACGCAAGTTCCTGAGGCAGGATTCCCGAATTGCACCTAACTTACAGATATGAATAGGGCCTTATTGTGTGTGTATTGGTGTCCGCAGTACCGGACCGGATATAATTACATTTTATTTTGATGTACGAAATTTGGCAAGCCGACCTGAAAAAAACAAAATTGTCGAGTGCCCCCCCCCTCCGAGTCCAATGAGGTACAGCTTTCTCCAACTGCTTTTTTGGCGTATTTTTAATTGTTTCATGCAGTTTGAGATCAATTTGGGTCAACTTCTCTGAAGAAAATGTTACGTACAGATATCTCCACTAAACTGGTATCAACTTACTATGGCCACTAGATCTTCCAGATTTGATAAACGTAAACAAAAATGGCAGGCACTTATCCTTGACCTTAATGTTTGGAGTGATTTTGAAAATAAATATACGACTTCTGTGATAGCCTCCAGAGATAGAATATTGCAAATACCAGGTCTATTATACCCAGTACCTTCTGTATACTTTGGGTCTCCCTCCCAATCCCCGGTGCGTCAAGTGTTGTGGTCAAAGAGCAGATTCTTTTCTCACTCCTTTTGACCCTGCCCACATATTCATACCTCTTTTCTGGAGACTGGATTGGGTTTCCCCAATATATGCAACCCCACTTTTTGCTTATTGGGTCTTTTTGTTGAGCCGACATTGGACTCTCGTGCTCAGACCCTCGTTAGTTTACTCTTGTTTTATGCCAGGAAGGCCATCCTTCAGGTGTGGGGCAGCCCTAGGGCTCCTTCTCTGAGTTGCTGGAAATGTTTGGTGGATCAATCCTTGCCTCTTTATAAGCTTACCTATGAACAGAGGGGTAATCCGCAGCGCTTTGATCGTATTTGGGGCCCATGGTTATCCTCTATTGATACGACAGTTGATCCTTCCCGATTTAATTTTGTAATTTTAGTATAATATTCTGGAGTTCTTGTGTTCCTGCAGAGTCTATTGAGTATGCTGTAAGCTGATGCGAAACCTTTTATTTATGTAATGAGACTAACTTCATTTTTTTTTTTTCTTTGTTGTTTTTCGCTTGTAAGGATATTACTGGGTATGTTGACCTAGTTTTCCCTTTCTTTTGTATCCTTGTTTTGTACAAATTTTGATAAAATAAAAAGCATCTTTCAAAAAAAAACCTTTAGTAACAAAGTGACACAGAAAGCAGAGGTGCTCAAAGTAAGCAATTGCGTCTAACAACTGTGACAGCAGGCAAAAATCAAAACTGCTGGCATATTCCCTTAAAATCTGTTATCTTCACTTATATTTTCTCATATTAACTGTTACTGGCCAGATGAGGCAACTTTCATCACAAGTTTATGGGCATCCTAATTTTTTAACAGGCATTCTTGTCAAATGCTGTGTATGCTATTTGCAATTTGAATGGCAAAACACAGCATTTGAAAAGATAAGGCTGCATTTGACTTTCTGTGCCCACAGTTGAAATACACCTAAATTGGACATGCTATGGCCAAAGAGATGCAGTGCAATGCAAAGTGGATCAAAATGCAGCCACTGACTGGCCATGTGTACTACTCAATTAAATTTATTATGATTTTGCTGTTCTACATTTCTATGCACCTTCCAAAAGTACATCAAATGTAAGTACACAATGTCCATCAACATACCAATCTATCTGTTAAATTACAGAGTAAACACTTCAAAACCACAAGCATCAGGGTAGAGTGAATGAAGCTTCTACCATCACTGTTAGAAAATACAGACTTTTCAGTGTACAAATCTGAAAATATTTATGTAAATTAATCACCTTTTTAAAGGCATGGGTTTTATGTAAAGCATTACACAATCAACCATTTTAGCTAGAAAGCAAAGGCTTGGCTTTGCTCGCAAAAACATTTATAAGGCCATGGAGTCTAAAACAAGGATTTCATGAGCTATAACAAAAGTCTACAGTTATTATTGTAAGTTCTAATACCTCAACAAAGACAGACAGATTTTACATTGCATAAAAATGAATAGGAAGGTGCACCCTATTGTTTATTGGTAGCAGCCATTTCAGGCTAGAACAAGACTAAGGAGGAAAAGTTTGTAGTGTAATACAAAGGGGGATTACTGGACAGAAAAAAATGACTGTATAGCAGGACCGCTCTCGTAGCAAAATCACAATTTTTATATTAAACCTCAATTGTATCCTCCATTTGTATGGGTTAGTCAAAATAAAAAAGGAGCAATATAAAGCTTTACTGCCGCTTTAAAAAAAAAAAAAAAGAATTTCTTTGTAGTACTCCACTGTAGCCCAAAACTTCCCTTCTGTGACATAACGCTAAATATAAATAAAAGGACAGTTGAGCTCTGTGTGAGAACAATGGTCTGGATCTCCAGCAGTCTGACATGTCCCCTGCACCATCAGATGTCTGCTGTTACCTTTATTACCCAGAAAAGCATCTTCTGTGCCCTGGTTTCACTTTGTTACTGGGGCATGAATTCTTCTGACTTCACAGCTAAGCCCTGTGATTTTTCCATACCAGTTTCCAATGAGCCCCCATTGACCAGTAAAAACCTTTTTATTGGAAGGGTGATGGCAGGTTAGTGGAGCTTAGCCATCAAGTCAGGTAAAGTGAGGCCCAAATAAAGTAAATCTTAATCTGGGAGGGGTACAGAAGAAGCTTTTCTGACTAATACATGTAATAGAAGGCATCTTGCGATGTCTGCTCTTAGGCTGGCCATACACTTCTCTATTTCTTTTCATTCAACCTGCGGGCTGAAATGAAAAAAACAGAGCGGATTCCTCCATCAACACTACAAGTGTGTCAATCGAGAAATCCCACTGTTTGCATTGCTGCCGGCTCTGGTCGTATGAAGATTTCCGACCAGCTCCTTCGATCAGCTGATCGAGGGATGCCAGCCAAAAGGGTGCCGGCAGCGGTCCACACTGTGCGAATTTTGCAGTGTATGGGCACCCCAAGGCAGAATGTTTAATGATGAAACTAAGGCAGTTCTTTAGCAGAAACATAACATTGTATATTTATTTCTGAAAACATTTTGTGAGTCTCTCATATTCATTTAACATAAGACACTGGAAGGGGAATTCAAAAAGAGCGTTGTTGAGACACACAAGAAAAGTGTCTCAGGGCTACAAGAATAGTGTTCTTAGTTGTGCCAAAATTCAAACTGCACAGCATTCATGAATTTGGCGCAAACCTATGAAACAGGCGCTGGCTTGAGAAAAACTTTGGGACAGATATATGCACACTGATAAAGTACATAAATGTGTCCAACCTCTGTTCAAAGTGTCACATATGTGTCCGAGACAGATTCAATTTTGCTCCTCAGTTTCCTGCTCAAGGAATGTGGCACCTGAGGCACACTTGGACAGACCTACACAATATGAACCTGCGACAGACTAGTTGCACTATAAAAGACTTCGCCTTACTTTGTATCACTTTTCTTATTTCCAAACTGTGTTTACTTATTGAACATGTCACAAGCATAGCGCCAGAATGATATATGGCACAAATAAGAACTACTAGAAATTGGTGCAGGAGTGGGTAGATGTCCGAAAAATGGTGCAGCCTGTTGTTGAATTTAGTGCAGACATTTCTTAGGCTGCATTAACTCCAGAATTCTGGTGCAAACGCAATATTGAATTTCCCTGTGGGTGTTTAAAAAAGATAAATGGAACTTTACCTTGATAAGCAGTGCCACACCAGATGCAGTAGAAATGTTTATCTCTTAAGTAACTTGTCAGAATTTGCAGCTTATCAGGGGTCTAGGCAGAGTAAATAACAAATCAGACAAAAAGAAACTTTACTGAGCCACACAATATTGTACAGAGCTAAAAACACGAAATGAGGGCTTCATTATCAAAAGGGATCGTTAGTAACCCATCAATAAATCAATCAGATTTGAATTTGCAGTGCAACAAAATGACAGTTTGAGAATAAAAAATGGAATACGATTGCTTTGCAGTTATTTTTTTAAATAACGGTCCATTATCCCCAATCAGGTTGTGGTAATGTGCAGTAAGCTATGTGTGTGTTGGTGTGTGGTGCTGCTATGCATTGTGAATGGCACCCCCACCGCTGACAAAAATGTATGTATGCTGCAACACACAGCAGCGCAGAGCAACCAATTGTGTTGGTTACATTGTGCTGTGGAAAAATGTGACCAAACCTTTTTTTGTGCATTGAGGTGCGTTGCAGCCTATTCATTCATAGTGTGAATACAAAGCATGGCGTAGATATTTACAATTTGTTGCGCATTTGTTTAAACTGTAGCTGTTCAAAAATAAAGAACACAATGGCAGAAAACAAAAATGTTTGGTTACAAAACATAACATAAGAAAACTGGAGCATTATGTGCATATCAAATGATAATTCTATGATCTGCACATAAGCAATAATCAAAATGCATTGTAACAATATTCAATATTGGGCTGCAACTAACCATTATTTTCATAAATAGATTAGTTGGCCGATTATTTTTGCAATAATTCAATTATTCGGATGAAATAAAAAAAATAAATACCATCAATAATTTAAAGTAAAATACACAAATGCAGCGTTACAAACAAAGTTTACTTCAGAATAAAACTGTATGCACATTTTTTGAAATCGCACTGCACTGGAACGCAGGGCATTGCAGTACCGCACGTTCCAGTGCAGGCGATCACACTGCAGACAGGAGGTGCATTTGGGATGCCATTGAAATGAATGGAGGAGCAGCATAGTGACGGTGGATTCAACTAATCGATAATGAGAATAATTGACGATTCATTTTCGATTAGTTGTTTGAGCCCTAATTCAATAATAACAACATGCTGTTATCGCTCTTGCCCACAGAGCAGGACCTTGTTCACAGTAGATTACACTGGAACAAGGAGTATATGTTTAATATATGGGAGTAAAGTATAAGCTAATGAAATATAGTTCTGAAGTATGCTATAGAAATATAGTCTGCAATCAGAGATGCTAAATCGACTAATCAACAGGAAAGCAACAATACTGTTATACAGAAACTTACACTCAGCTCCTCATGCTCAACTTCATCCTCATCCTCATCCGTTTCCACATCATCTTCTTTTGGATCTGTTGCAGGCCAATACCAAGGCTCCCGGGGACAGCTTACGCCCTGTAGAAAAATAGGGTTTGTGTATTTACCATAAAATATGTTTCTTGGAATTCATTACAGACACACAGAAGATTCAGCTATTCAAGATAATTAGGTTATACTGCCTCTTACAAGAGGTTTTGGGGGAAAAAAGCCAATGGCCAGCCAAGTATAATCCCTCCCACCACTCCCAACATGCTTCAGGTTTGTATTTGTGTTACAGTCCAAGACTTTAACAAGAGGGTTACTGAAAGGAAACCCATCCTGGAGCTGAGGCAGGAGACTTCCCACAACCCATCCATATTATAGCTCAGGGCGACAGGCATGAGCTTTAAGGATTCTATTATTAAGGGATCAACTGTCATAGTAAAGAGATCCCTTCTAATGCTCTTAGTCTAGTCAGCTAGTGTCTGACTAAGGCTATAGCCAGAAAGGCTGCGCTGCAGGGCCTGCCAGTGAGAACAGAGCTCTAGAAAAGATCTCCAATCACCTGTCTATGGGATACCTAAAGACAGGTGCATCCTCAAAAGGGATGGTTATCATTTTGTTAAGCAGGGGTACTGCCAGATCCACAAAGGGGGCAGTCCACCTTTTAATAAAGCCCTCCTAAATAGGGTCCAAGACTATCTGTCATTTGGGAGAGACAAAGAACTTGTCACGTTTCTTCCAGGAAGACTGCAAACAGCAGGTGCACCAGAAAGGTTTTGACAGACTTAGAAGCCCTAAAGAAAACTAGACTGGTTGCCAATTAAATTTGCCATTTTTGCCCATAAAATCCTACATGACTGCAGTGAAATCCTGCCGGGATAGGACAAAGGAAGGGCCACAACTGACACAAATTTTTTTTTTTACAAAAAATAGCTAGCAAAAAGGTTGGACTTTTCACCACAGAGCAGAGAAAAGAAGTCTATATTCTTAAAACATAATAAAACTAAGGATGTTGGTAGTAGGAGCGTTATTCTGGGCTGGCCCAAATGTTTATGTTTGCTAGTGTCCAATTCTCCTGAAGGCAGCAGTATAACAATAATATCTGAATCCCTGGGTCCATCAAAAAGTTAAAAAAATTAAACCGACAAAAAAAAAAAAATAGGAGAGAAAGAAATAAATTAGGGCTAATTAGGGTAAAAAAGGTTTAATAAGAATGCATTGTATTAAAAATATATATTTTGTATACATACTGATAAAAAGTCACATTGTTGATCTACATAATGAAACAATACATCGATTCATCGTTTTTACTCAATTAGGTTTGCAGACAATCTGCAAGTGCAATTTTACACTGGAGTGGCTGCATACAGCTAGTAGTAGCGCAGGGGTAGGGGTACCAGCAGGGAGAGGAGAGCTGGATGTAAGAGATGTGTCCTAAAAAGTTTTTAGGACATATCTTTTATGTTTAAAATCTTCAAGTGATTCAAGTAAATGGAAAGTCACTTTCCATGCTTGATTAAAAAAAAACACCTTTATTTTAGTGCATTACTTGCAGTCACATGACTGCAAACCCTCTGTTCTGTGTACCTTGCTTTGCAAACAGTGAGCGGTAACTTTCAGAGGGTTTGATGCAAGGCAGGGAGGAGGCAGCCCAAACCTTTGTATGTCGGAGGATGTGATATGCCATAATAACGGCTATGAATAAATCGGTGAAGTGCTGGCAACAATTTGACATTTTCAAATTTGAAGCTCAGCGAAATAGTGTTGTCAGCAGTACATTGGAACCGATTTGTTGAACTGGGAACTGCCAGGATTACCAGGTATTTGCAAAATAATGGCAAATAATCAGGAACCTGAACATAATTTGAATGTCCATTAATTGTTTTGGATAGATAGGGGAGCCCTCCGAACACCTCACAGCAGTCCAGGCCTACATAAAAGATGGTGCTCGCAGTGATAACCACGGATGGCACCGTGCAGACACAAAACAGAGGGAAAAAAATCACCAGCACTCAGCGATATAATTCAATGTGTCCATTTAATTGAACAAAAAAGTCACAGTAACAAAAGCCAACGTTTCGAGACCGCACAGGTCTCGAAACGTTGTTTTGGACTATTTGCACTTGGCTGGAGTTAAAATTCAAGATATCTAATGGTTCCTATAGGCTTTTCTGTCAGGAAGAGTTTTATGCAGGAAACAAAGATTACGTCTATTCTTTAGCTTACCTTCTGCTCATCTAGATGCAGGCATGCTCTCTGGCTTTTCCTAAGATCACCTTCTACTTTGTGCTCTTCCTTTTTATTTCTTAATCTTGACCTGACATAAAAAGTATTCTTTATTATCAAATGAAAAGAACGGTTTCTGTAGTTGTAAAAGCATTTTCTTGCTAAATTGATTGGGGAACACAGCAAACATTGGGGCTACATGCACCTTCTATAGAGAATGTGGAAACCAGAAAATAACAATCCCTTTATGAGCTTTAGGCTTGATATGAACACACGACTTTCACTTCATGGCAGAGTAATAATAGCATTCAAATCTTAAAGCGACACTAAACTCAGGAGTTAAATCTTAAAAATGCATTCAAGTACCTTAACTATTAGCAATACTGGACCTGGATTTGTGCATCCCTCAAGTGTAGATCCTCAAATTATCTCTGCATTTGTTCGGACACTGTCCTTCCTTCTGAACGGTGGCAAGGTTTGTTCCCCCATGGTCCCTGTGTCTATTATAAAGTACTGACCGCTCCAAGTTCACTCCTGTGATACTAAATTAAACCAGAGATTGTAGTATAATTTGTATTGAGCTTGTAGTCCATCATGGGAGTTTAGAGTGGTGGCTACTTTACAATACACACAGGGACCATGGGGAACAAACCTAGCCACCGTCCAGAAAGAAGGACAGTATCAGCTAAAATTCAGAGATAATATTAAGATCTACAGCTGAGTGATGCACAAATAAGATACATTTTTGTTAATAGTTAAAAGGTACTTGAATGCATTTCTAAGATTTACTGTAACCCCGGAGTTTGGTGTCACTTTAAAAGCACCAGGTAACACTATGACCATGAAGACCGTACAAAATAATAATAGGCCGCATAAGGAATACAAGACGTCTGAGAGTCCTAGAAATGTGGGGCCCCACTAAAGAACTCAACCAGAATAAAAAAAAAACGACTTCAGTTATTTACACAACATACCTCTGATACTGATCCACAATTGTCAACAAATGGTTAAAGATATAGAAATCAAGGAAATATGGCAAAACCCTCCCCAAATACACCATTCACTGACATCTAGTTTGTAGAATCTGGACATGTTTTGGACAGGTGAACAATTAGCAACTTTGCACACCTAAGCTACAGAGTGTCAGTATCAGAAAGCCCCGGAAGTATCAACACACACACACACACACACACACACACAATAGAAAGCCCATTATGAAGCATGTTGGATGCTAGGAGGAACAGATGAATGTTTCTAGATAACAAAAAGGTAAAATACTATATTGGCCACAAGTTTATCAGCATTGTGATGCAGTTCACACTAAGAGAATACCCTTTGAGAAGGTTGTGTCTTAGCACAAAAAAAGCTCCTGAATTGTATCCTGTGGTCACCAGGGACACAAGAATTAATATCCCCTTGGAAAGTTTTCCCTTTATTTCTGTTTTGGTCACAACTAACAATTTGGGATTTTCTTTCACTTTTACTCTTGGTGATAAGTCACCAGGAGAAATATGGTAAATCACCCTAACTGGAACGCGAACTGCAGTAAAAACTTGACAAGTGTTCTAATCCCTCTCCAATCTATCAAAAAGTTCAAGAACAACTAAGTTTGGGTACCTGAAGGATTGGTGAACAGTCTTTAGGCAACAGTAAAGCAGGGTGGGGGTTCTGTACAAGTTAGGGGCTGCATTTCCACAAACAGAGATGGTGATGTGATCAAAATTAACAGTCCCTACACGTCGGAGACCATCAGGGAGGTATTTGAGCGGTCTAAAACTTAATTCTACAGCATAATAATGACCCCAAACACAAGGCCAAAAACAAACTATCTACAGCAGAATCAATGACCGATAAAGCAGCCCCCAAAGAGACCTTGCCTAAAACAGTGTCATTCTCTTAAAGAGGCTAGGAACAACTTAACATGTGAGGATTTTCAGAAAATACACACACATGCACAACAGAATTGTTGCTGTTTAAAGACAATGGGTGGTGACACCAAATACTAATTATAGGGGTTTTTTCTGCACTTTCTAGAATGTTTATTGCCTAATAAAAACTATAATTTATTTTTTTAACTGTTGCTCTGTAATGTTAAAAAGCAAACACATACACACAATATTTGTTTTAAAAATAAACATTACATGACAAAGGATTCTCACAGCACTATGGGTTAGCTAAACAGGTAGCAATGCAAACACAGCCTGCCTTGAGGTGGGATATGTCTGAGTGAAATCCCAGACAAAAGATTTAAGAGGCTAAACAGACACTACTGCAGAAGCCGTCTGCCTTGAAATGGGATCGTGTCTGATGGAAACCTAAGACAGACTGAAGAAACTGGAAAATTAATGTAAATGAGGACAATATTTACAAAAAAACTACACAATTACTTTAAGAAAAACACAGTTTGCATGTTTTCTGTGCATAAGCTATACTCATAGCCTTACTGACCACTTTAGAAAAATAAGCTCATCTTCTAAAAAAACTTGCTTCCTATAACATTCTAATATATTGTCTTCTTAGCCTACACATAAACCTTTGCAGATACATTTTATGATGATGGATGGACCTATGAGATAAGCCTTAACAAAATGGCTTGGCTGTTGATTTTGTTCAGCAGCAGGTTAAAAAGCCACATCATTGCAGTAAAACACCAGGGAGTCATTATGTTATTACTTTAGTATTTTCTACAAGGGTATTGTGCAACAATTCTATCCATTCTCTTTGGTGCCAGGAAGAGAGTGAATGCAGTGAAACCAGAGACCACTCCCACTCTATTGACTTAGATCCAGCTATTCACCTTGAGTTTTCCGGGTTGTTCAGATACACACAGTTTACTACAGACAGCCACAGCTGGTCAAAGTCATGGTGCTGGAAAAACTGTATATGTCATCCAGACGTTTGTGTTTTATCAGGTAGACAAGTTGGCTCCCTGCAAACTGGCCGTTTAGCAGTAGATGGGAAATCAATAGCTAAACACCCCTCTTACACCTGAATAATAAAGTGTGGTAGTAAGCTAGATAGACCAATTTAGTCTATGCTCTGGACAGGCCGGAACTGATCAAACAGAACATAAACAGCCATAGAGGCTAAATATTTGTGTTGCAGTATTGTATTGAATAACCTCTGTGGGGATGGACTTTGATTGTTTTCTATTTGTTCTGCAGACAAATTAAAGAAGGTAAGAAGCCCTAAAATGCAACCTGACACACAGACTGGCTCTTTACAAATGCTCCATTTGACACTGATCCCTATAATTGGTGGATGAATGAAAATGGCAAAAAATGGATCTCAGTCTGCCTGACAGATGGTCCCTGTTGAAATTAAGCTACCTTGTGCTAAAAGTGGTCATGCAAGACAGCACTTTGAGATTGCCTGCAGTTGTCGACCTGCATGTATTTCAAGGGACAATATACTGTTTGTGGGGTATGTAAGCCTGCTGTATATATACAGTCGAGAAACACAGTGAGCACTGTGATACTCCTGACAGCAGTTTGCATTGTCCTGCAGTACGAATACTTTCTGAAGAACCACTTAGTTACTGTATGTAGGTTTTGAGAGTGGTGGAAATTGCTGACTTTGCAGTATGGAGGACATGATAAAGGTACAACAAGCAAGTACTGCTCAGCAACAGGCTCATTAGCAGAACCTGTCCCAAGAGCAACAAGCCAATGCCAACCAGCCTTGAAGCCTGCCAGGAGCTTGCTGGCTGCCCACCTGGACAGGAAAAGGGGAGTGTCAGGGTGCAGCTCTGGCCCAGGCAGCAGAGGAGGACTGAAAGACTCTAAATCGGGTGGTACAAATGGTCATGCTGTTGCAATAAGCGTAAGCCACTACTTGCAAAATCCTTCAAAATACACAAATCCATGAGATAGAGGCAATCAGGGAGTGGCCTTATCCTGTTACAAGAAACAAGTCAGAACCTGCTTGGGTTTCATCCAGAACTTTGCTACAGTAGCACCACCATTAATTGACCTGACTTTGTAGACAACTGGTGCTGGTAGTCCTGGATTTCAACAAATGTTCCAGATTATTGCCTCAAGTGTAGGCAAGAAACAACAACTTTACATTTCTCTTTTTGAAACAGAAATAAACAGCACATCCACTTGTAACTGTCAAGCTCAGCTTGATTTACCAAGTTCCTTTAGCTGTGGGCTTAACCAACTGTTACTGGCAGCTATAAAACTACCACTTTGACACACAAGGCTGAATATCATTCCTACTCAATGAATATTACATTAAAGAGGAATAACAGTCTGCATTTGAAATATGTCAAAGGACTTTATTTCCATCAGGAGCTGAGAAATGTATTTTAAAGTATGAAGTGTTGCCTTGTCTTACTGAAACTGAGCTTTAGTTAAAAACTTAATTTGTTATAAAAGGACATAACTAGCTCTAATGAAGTGTGTCCTATGTCCTGCTGGGGCCTGTAGAAATCCTCCCTTCGGTGATGCTGGTGAACTCAAAGCACTGATGCGAGCCAACTGCTTCTGCTGTTAGCAAAAGAAATGGGCGCAATCGCCCACTCACATTACGCTTTTTAATCTGTGAAAAGCAGTTAAAAAAAGACAAACTTTTTTTGTTTGTTTTACTTCTCTTTTTGATAACAGGAGAATATTTACTGATCAGCAGTTGGGACACTCCTGTAGAGCTGCAACAGTTAATCGATTAAGTCGGCTATCGATTGCTTAGCCTGTTCGGGGCTCCGTCACACGCTGCTCCCGACATGTCCACCGCACAGTCCGCCGCATAAGCCACGCCCACCGAACAGGCTGAAGCCGCGCATGCCGCTGGTCTCCTCCTAGC